GTGCAGAAGAACCGTGAGTGGAAGGGCAGGTGTTGGGGTGGGGGGCTATGCTCTGTGCCACCCAGCACCCTTTAGCTTGCTGTGCTTGCCGCAGAGCCCCTGAAGGACCTGGGGACCTGCTGCAGTGGAGGGGTCAAGGCGGAGGCCCCCATGGAGGTGGTGAAGGCGGAGGTGATGGAGACGCTGACGCCGCCACCCTCGGACGCGGGCTCACCGTCCCACAGCAGCCCCCTCTCTCTCAGTGGGGGCAGCAGCAACAGCAGCAGCGACTCGGAGCCTGACAGCCCCCTCTGCAACCGTGGCAAGGTGAGGGAGAGCTCCTTCACACCAGGGGTGCCAAGGGCAAAGTGTACCAGATGAGGAGAGGAGCTGAGAGCCCTATCTTGCTCTCTGAGGCTGCTCGTCCCCCAATTTGGGTTTTTTGGGGTAATTCTGAGGTGCATGGGGCTGTACCTCATGCTCTGTACCCCAAAATCTATTCTATGCCCCCTGCCCATACACAGAAATCCATGCCTATTTCCTTATCCCATGCCTGTTCCCCATCCCCTCACATCCGTGCCCACGCCTGGGGCTCACAGCAGCTCTGCCCACTCAGGTGAAGCAGGAGCACCCGCCACCCTCGCCCAGCAGCCAGGGAATGCTGGACCGTTCTCGCATGGCTCTCTGCACCTTCGTCTTCCTCTGCCTCTCCTTCAACCCCCTGGCCTCCCTCCTCCGGGGCTCCAGCTCCCCGGGCCCTCTGGGGAGCCCGGACACTGCTGGCCCCAGCAGGAGCATCATGGCTGAGTCTGGCACTGTGGGTAAGCTCTGGTGTGGGGTGGGGGCTCTTGGTGTGGGGGACATAGGGGTGCAGGCTGTTGGGAGGGGCACAGGTTGGAGGCCATTGGAATGGAGATTGTTGGGATGGGTGTGGGTCGGGGACTGTCAGGGTGGGTACGGACTAGAGGCTGTTGAGGTAAAGACCATCGGGGTGCAGGATGATGGGGTGCATGTGTGGTAGGGGCTGGGATAGGTCTGAGATGGGATGATGTTTGGGGTGGAGGATGCTAGGGTAGACACGAGGCAGAGGCCACTGGGTGGAGGCTGTTGGGGTGGTCATGAGGTGAAGGCCACCAGAATGGAGAACCTGGGATGGGTGTGGGGCCATTGGGTGGAGTCTGTTGGGTTGGACACCATTGGATGGGGGCTCTTTGGGTGGGCACAGGGTGAAAGCCACTGGGATGGAGAGACTGGGGTGGGCACAGGGCAGCATTTGCAGGGTGGTGCTGACCCCCTTTCTGCACAGAGGAGCCATGGGGGTGGTCACAGTGGCTGTGGCCCACGCTGGCCTTCTGGGCACTGAACACGGCGCTGGTGCTGGGGG